GCCAGCTATGAAATAGCTTAGATTCTTGCACACAAAAAAAGGAAACCATTTTTAAGATGGAAGATGAATTATATTAATATATTAAGATGGAAGATGGAAAATAAATTATTTCAATTATGGAAATTTTTTTAGAAAATTATGAGGTAAAGTTTTAAAAAAAGGACATTTCACAGAACAATGAAAGATAAGATCATTAAGCTACCAAACAATCACCCATAGATTTCCAGACCTTCTGTCAAAGATCAATTGATAAAAAATCTGAAAAATTATGAGAACTTCTTTTTAGCCTTAGATGAATCATGTGATATGAAACACTGCCCAATTAATATTTTAGATACATTTTGTCTCAATATACTTCCAAATTGATGAATAAATGTTGTCAATTCATGTCCCAAAAAAATCAAACTTGTGGTATACATATTTTGTAATCTTTTACAATTATCAAAGAATTTCAGCTACAAATGAAAAACAATTTCTATCCCAATGGACAGTTCCCAGATGCTTTTGTTTTGCTGTATTCTACTATATGATACATACTGAAAATATTTGTGCTCAGTTTTCTGAAGCAGATTCTAATAAAATTGTCATAAATACAGTTGATAAAACCAAGTGTTTTCTGCAGTTCCTTTCACCAATATCTTAAAGTTTTCAGTGTAAAGCTTTCACTTCCTTGGTTAATTTATTTTTCTTGTCTAATTGTTCTGAGTAGGACTTCCAGTACTATGTTGAATAGGAGTGGTGAGAGTGGGCATCCTTGTCATGTTCCTGATCTTAGAGGGAAAGCTTTTACCACTGAATATATCAGTCATGGGTTTGCCATATATGGCTTATATTATATTGAGATATTTTCCTTCCACACCTAATTTGTTGAGAGTTTTTATCATGAAAGGATGTTGAATTTTGTCAAATGCTTTTTCTGCATCTATTGAAATGATCATATATTTGTTTTTCATTCTACTATTGTGGTGTATCACATTTATTGATTGTGTGTATTGAACCATCCTTGCATCCCAGGGATAAATTCCACTTGATCATGGTGTAGGATCCTTTTAATTTGCTGTTGAATTTTGTTTGCTAGTATTTTGTTGAGCATTTTTACATCTATATTCATCAGGGATATTGGCCTGTAGCTTTCTTTTCTTGTAATACCCTTACCTCGCATCAGGGTAATGCTGGCCTTGTAAAATGAGTTTGGAATTGTTTCCTCCTTTTCTATTTTTGAAAGAGTTTGAGAAGGAGTGCCCTTAATTCTTCTCTAAATGTTTGGTAGAATTCACCCATGAAGGCATCTGGACCTGGTTTTCTTTTGGGGGAGGTTTTTGATTATTGATTCAATCTCCTTAACTATTATTGGTCTGTTCAGATTTTTTTATTCATGATTCAGACTTGTAGGTTGTATATTTCTAGAAGATTATACATTTCTTCTAAGTTGTCCAATTTTTTTTATAATTGCTCATAATAGGTTCTTTGATCCTTTGTATTTCTGTGGTATCAGTTGTAATGTTTCCTCTTTTATTTATAATTTTATTTATTTGAGTCCTTTCCCGTTTTTCTTGGTAAGCCTAGCTAAAGCTGTGTTAATTTTGTTTATCTTTTCAAAAAAACAGCTCTTAGTTTCATTGATCTTTCCTATTGCATTTCTGATCTCTATTTCATGTATTTTTGCTCTGGAAGAAGCAGGAGGAGAAATAAAGGTGGCTCTAGGGTCAGATTCAATTACTTCTCAAGGAGGATCCACTGAGTCAGGTCCTTTAGCACATTTTTGCTCATGGCATGTAGTCATCTACTTGGAAACTGAGAGCTGTGACCCCACCATTCAGGGCTCTGCAGATGGTCCAGCCAGAGTGACCAACATCCTTATCTAAATGTCTAAAGTGGGGGTGGAAAGTGGGGAGATACACAGGGCCCAGGGAATAGGGACATTTTTCAAAGTTGCATGAATTTCTCCCTATTCCTCAATGGCTCCATTTATAAGTGTCCACAGTGCCCGGGTCAGTGTGGGTATCAGGGGAGGAGGTTAAGTTTGGTGCTGGGAGGGGGTTGGGGGAGTCTGCCTAGTTATTTCTAAGCTTCTGACAGGACCATAAAGCACCAAGACAAATTTCTCTTTCACAATAAGTATCTGAGGATTGGTGCCAGGAAATCAGCCCCTAAGGGTAAAGAGAGTTCTCATTACCCTTCTTTATTCCACCAGACAATGCCCTCTTTGTCTCTCCTCTTCCCACCAGATGAGACCAGCCTCCTCCCACAGCCATATGTGGGTGACATGTGCCAAGATCTGGAGCAGCAGGGTGCAGGGATCCCCAAGGGTAGGGAGTGGAAAGAAGCACCTCTGTACCCCACAGTGTTGGGAGGAGAAATTTTTCTTCTCTCCCTCCTTCTCTTTTCCACAGCTGGACTGGCTGAAGGCAGAGTGATAGGCAACCAGGAGCAAGGGTTCAGGAGGGGTCCCCAGAAGGAAAGTGTCAGTAAAGGAAGGAGACATCTCCCCAGATAATAGAATACAACAGCATTGGGCCTGGGACCCTGTGTGGCCTGGAGAGAATGGAGCCACACTAGTCCTAGGCCCACCATCACCTGAGGAACAAAAACATACACTAATAATTTCTTAAGCCTGTGCAGGTTTAACTGAGATGGGACTGGTGGTTACCATGAGGTAGTTGGGGGTGAGGGGGAGGAGGTTGAGGGTGATAAAGGGGCACAAAAATTCTCACTGATAATGTAGTTTGGTCATGGGGATAGTAGTACAGCATGGAGAATATAGCAAATGATTCTGTAACATCTCCCTATGTTGACAGACAGCAGCTGTACTAAAGGGGGGTGGGATTTAATAATGTGGGTAACTGTTGAACCACTGTGTGGTATACTTGAAACTAATATGATTGTGTATCAGTGATACTTCAGTTAAAAAATGAAGACTGTGCAGGTTTGAAATCTGTAACATTTACAAATAGTCAACAAATCCTTTTCTCACCAGGACGGCAAGGTTTCAATTTAGCAACAAGTTTAACTCAACTGGCAGGATTGAGGCAGCATCCTGGATTTATTCCACACTGATCCCACTCTGGTTCATTAGGTGAACTTCTAGAAAATTCTCCTTCCTGCATTTTCTACCATATAAAGGCAAGTCCTCGCCCACATGAGCATGTAGTGCCAGCAGGCTGGCAGGAAGAAAAGCCAGGAGACCAAAGCTGCGGGCAGCTGTTAATCCCAATGATCAGGTCTTTCTTCTTTCCAAATTTCCCAGGCTTAGTGTTGTCATCCCCCAATCTTCAGCCACTGCTTGCCCCGACAATCAGGCCTTTCTCTACGACTGTAAGAGCAGCAAACCCCTGGGACCCTTGAGCCACGTGGTAGGGATGGAGGATGGGAGGACAGCCAAGGTCAGAAGGCCAGGAAGGACATCTTTGGGAAACATCGTAGACAATTCCAAGGACAGAGAAGGCCAGAGGACTGAGGACTGTGCACGGAGAGTAAGGATATGGTGTTTCACAAGCTCAAGGGGCTGTCCCAGGTAAGCCTGAAAAGGAGAGTTAGCAGGAAGGAAACATCAAAGTCCCACAAGATTAACAAAAGGCACGAATAGACATACACAGACATTTCTGCAGCCCCTGTCCCACAACACATCTCCTTTCCTCCTTCCCTTCACTGCCAGACCTGACACTCAAGGAAATGACTTGAGAGTCAGCTCTTATCTAGGCATATATGACATCTCAGCCCCACACCCCACCTGTCTGAGGCTGATGCCACTTTAGAAGGGGTCAGACTCACTCCTGCCCAGGGATGTTGTGGGCCAACCTCAGGGTCAGTCAGACCTGGGTTCACGTGGTGGCTCCCAGTCACCAGTGGGACTGTCTGCCCAGTACCCCCATTGCCAAGGACATTGCTCGGCATGGAGTACAGCCCACAGTTCATAGTTCATGCTGGGTGCTCCCTAAATGCTTTCCCCTCCATAGACTGTTACAGCTACATGGAACCCCTAAGGATCATTCTGCCTTCTTTGCTTCGCTGACTCCTGACTCCGTGTCCACGGCAGGAGCATCTGAGCCCAGGCCATGTGCACCTGTTCTACTGTAAGGGAGGCTGGGAAAAGGGGAACCTCGTTGTTTCTGCCCAGTAATGGAAAGGCCTGGACTCCCCAAGCAGAGAAAGGGAGGGAGGCAGAGATGTAAATTGTCTCCTCAGAGGCTTCCCAGGTGAAATCTGAAACAGGCCCACAAGCAGAGGACAGGGAGAAACCAAGGAAAGAGGCAGGCCACTTTCGGGTGGTAGGGGCAGTTTAATACACAAGGAACTTACATAAGAAGCTTCCTTGTGTGGCCACAAGACAAGTAGATCTCTGTACCTGCCGCCAAATCTCAAAATTTATTTAGAGGCCTTCACTAGGTTCAGCTACATATATACAGTCCAGATGGTCTCAACACCCTATTGCTCTCAAGGCTGCGTCCTTGGGGCAGCTTCTGGGAGCAGGAGAGGCGAATGGGACAGAGGACAAAGGACAGAGGAGGGGGTGGGGAGCCTCTGATTGCTGAGTCCAGCTCACAGGTCAACAGACAGTCATGTCTTCTCGATGGCCTTACCTAACAGTGTGGGGCAGTGAGGGTCACACCCTACTCAGGCCCAAGCTCTGGGCACGTTCAGAGCCTTTCCAGAGGGGAGGGAGGAAGTGAGGTCTGACTTCACCCAAATCCCCCTACACCCCGGGATGGAGATGTCATAATAGACTGGAAGGGTGACACACACCCAGGCTTCTGCCCCTCCATACCTCCTCTTGGCCCCCATCCACTGGTATTCTTTTACCCAGGTAGACACAGAGGCCCAGTCCACAGAACAGCTGTCTGCAGACTTGCTGAGCACCCACTCGGCCGAGCATGGCTCGTGCATCTTTTTCTCAAGCCGTTGGGGAGGAGCCCATCCTGGCACTCTCATTGGCCTGTGGCTTCACCTCCCCCAAGCTGGGCTCAAAGCCCAGCCATTCCCATGACTACACCTGGCTGTACCTCCAAGCAGTCTTCTTTGAGCCCCAGGATCCAGGCAAGTCCAGAACCTTCCAGTTGGGCACAGTGGGCACAATGTTGCCTGTCCTGCTATCTCTACTGCTGCTCCTGCTTCCTGCAGCCCCCCAGGAGACCCACGCTGGTGAGTTGGGAAGCAAGGGTGGCTCTGGAGAAGAATAGAGTGGGATTAATAAACAGGACAGACAGCTGGAGAAGGATGCCTGATGCAGCTGAGATTCCCAAGGGTAGAGTGGGAATGGGTGTCCAACTAACTCAGCTGGCACACTTCCAGAAGCATTCAAGGAGCCCCTGGACTCATGCTAAAAGAGACCTTAAAGAATCAGAATCTAAAACCCTTAGATGAACAAGGGTTCATCTGGTCTTAGACCAGAGAGGCAAAGTGGCCTGTCCAGAGTCATACAGGCAGGACAGAACAGGAGCCACCAGGAAGAACTTGTCCCTCCCCTCCTTCCAGTGGTTGGATGTACATGTCTGACTCTCGGGGAAAGACAGAGCAAAAGAAAGGAGCATATGTGAATGCACCCGTGCAAGAACAATGTCAGTACTTGAATGAGGAACCTGCCATATGACCTCCAATATTACTGACACCCATGTGAGTTATATCATGAACTAATTATGGAATTAATTATGGAAATGTCCCCCTGCTCACAGTCCCTGCCTCATACCAAAATGCCAAAATGCAAGCCCTGGGAATTCTTGAGATCCAGATCCTGGCTTTATGCTGTGCCAAATCATTCTAGGTCATTTCCTGAATTTTCTAGTAAATTCTCCTTCCCTCACTTTCTAACTGTATGTATGTGTCAGGTTACCCTGAGCTATGCCCCACTAACAAAGTTTTTAGTGGCTTAACCCAACAAATGTTTTATTTCCTGCTCATGTAAAATTGAATAAAGATCAGGTAACTTTGCTTCCCTCCATGGGGTGACTCAGGAACCCAAGCTACTTGCATCTTAAGAGTCTTCTGTTTCATCCTGTGGCCTCCAATCATCACCTAATAGAAGAGAGACGGAGGGGGCAAACCAGCTCACAGGGCCTCGGACCAGAAGACAGATATCACTTCCATTCCCGTTCCCTTTTGACAGAACTTGATCACATGTCCCAATATACCTACAAGGAAGCTGAGAAATATTATCTTCTTATATGCCAAGAAGAGCAAAGAGAGTAGGGAAGACACAGAATGGACTCTGAACTATCATCCACAGATGTGAAGTGCAGTGAGCAAGCCTCCAGTGTGTGAGGCTGACGGCAGGGTGCAGAGGGCTGGGGAGGACCAGGTGCCCCATCCTGGCCCTCTGCTCCTCCACTTTGGGACATGCTTGCATGGACCCCACACCTCAACATATTCTCCTCTTTTGCAGGGCCTTACTCCCTGAGCTTCCTGTACACAGGGCTGTCCAAGCCCAGCAAGGGCTTCCCCAGCTTTCAGGCCACTGCCTTCCTCAATGACCAGGCCTTCTTCCATTATGATAGTGAAGGCAGGAAGGCTGAGCCCCTGGGCCCCTGGACCCAAGTGGAGGGCATGGAGGACTGGGAGAAGGAGAGTGAACTTCAGAAGGCCAGGGAGGACATCTTCATGGTGACCCTGAGAGACATCATGGACTATTACAAGGACAAAGAAGGTCAGTGGACTACAGATCCCTGGGGAGGGAGGGTCTTAGCTCAAGAGACAGCCCCTCAACTGCAGTCCCGTGAGCAGAAAGGGTCAGCAGGATAGAAATAATCCCTGTCCCAGAGGAGGAATGGAAGGTGCATGTGCACACACACAGTGTCTCTGCATCCCCCATCACACATCTGCTTCCCTCCTTCCCCTCACTGCCCCCTCACTCCCAGGTCTCCACTCACAGGAAGTGATGTCAGAGTCAGCACTTACCCGGGCACACGTGACCTCTCAGCTCCACATCCCTACTGGTCTCAGGCTGATCGCATGTTAGCAGATATCAGACTCATCCCTACCAGGGATGTTGGAGGGAGAGTGGGCCAGCCTCAGGCACAGTCAGACCTGGGTTCACTGTCTCTGCCAGTCATTAGCTGTTTGACAGTGAGTTTGTTCTTAATTATCTGATCTGAATCTACAAAAACTGGGACAATGAGACCTGCCTCCAAGAGATTCTGTAAAACTTACCTATTAATTCCAGGAAGGCTAGAACAGTCTGCCTTGCTCTTCCCTGTAGCCCCACCACTGAGGACACCCAATAATTCTTGCTCAAATGAGTTACGCTGAATGATGGAAAAACAGTACTTAGCATAAACCATGGCCTGTGCAAGGAGATCAGGAAGGACTGAGTTCAAAACTGCAGACCATTACAGTTGCATGAAATCATGAAGACCCTTCCAGCAATAAGAAGCAGACTTGGGAGGGGTCACCTGGGCTTGGGGTGTGAATAGCCAGTGCAACATAGAGCACAGAGACTAGTTCCTGTGTCTCCTGAGCCCAGCACTCTCTCTCCTGAACCACGCTGTCTGCGCCCCCATCCCCAAGTCAGCCCACTGCAGGCCTGGGGAGCTGTTGGTGTTAAGTTCTTATAGGGCAGGTGTCAAAAGATGGGTTTCTCAGTACAAAAATGTCCAGAAGTACATGGATTCTGAATGTATCCAAAAAGAGACAAGAATGAGGCAGAAATCTGCAGAATATGGAATGGGAAGCTGTAAGGAAAATGGCCTGGGCTGTGTGTCAGAAATCAGAGAGGGTTAGGCACGGGTGCCCCAGAAGGACACCAGAAGACCCCTCCCAAGTCTGCTTCTTATTGCTGGAAGGGTCTTCACGATGTCATGCAACTTTGATTGGCAGGAACAGAAATGTTGAAGTGACCGATTATAAATAAGGAGGGTAAATGAACAAAAGCTTTGCTAGAAAATAACAGAAGCTAAGGTTTATTGAGCACTTACTCTGTACCAGCACAGTGTTGACATTGCCATCTCAGGGATGAGAAAAGTGAAGCACAGAGTTAATGGATCAAGGTCATGCACCAGACCACACAGGGATGGAGAGAAGTCTGGGATTTGAGGCCAGAAAGCTTGAGATCAGAGCCTGGGCCAAGAGCACTAATCCGCCCCGAGGAAACATCTAGTTTTATTGCCAAAATGAAGGGGTGTGTCTCCCTTCCCGAAGGAGGCCAACCTCCAATCTCCAAGCGATGTTGCTAATCGGGAAGGGAGGAGGGGCTTTAGAGATTTGTACTGAATATAACCGACACCCCGCGAGAGGGAAGAAATGACTGAATTGTGTTTACTCCCATGGTGACTTCAACTCCACCTAGAACCAAGGCAACAGGAGAGATTTCATAACCTATAGAACACTACAATAATTTCTATTTGACTTGGAAATGCACTTCAGTGTGGCTGTGTCAGGTGCCTGAGAACTCCCAGTATTTTCAAACAAAATTCATTAAAAGAGATGACACAGAGGGGCTGGAAAATCTCCCCACAGTCGGGAACTCTCTGAAATTCTCTGGCTGGTAAGAATGTCATTCATCTCAGACCGGCTCAAAACACCAAACCAAACCACATTTCCCTGTCTCTGTTTGCTGTATGTCTGGCTCATAACCCATCTGCCAAGATAAAAGGATTGCATGCTTAGCTTTCAAAAACCTTTCTTCTGCCCATCGAGCTGCGAGAGTTATTAGGATGGCATTGATGCCAGGCTGACTGGCTTTTGGTGGGGCCGGGGGTGGATGCAGGGTCTCACACCTTTCAGGGAATATTTGGTTGTGAGCTCTGGAATAACAAAAGCAGCAGAGCATTCTGGAGGTATGCCTACGATGGACGGGACTTCATCGAGTTCAACAAAGAAATCCCAGCCTGGGTCCCCCAGGACCCAGCAGCTCTAAACACCAAGAAGAAGTGGGAGGCTGAAGAAGTCTATGTGCAGCGGGCCAAAGCCTACCTGGAAGAGGAATGCCCAGGGATGCTGCAGAGGTACCTGCTCTACAGCAGGGTCCACCTGGACCGGCAAGGTACCTGGTGCCTCTCTGTGTAATGAGAGTGAGGGTCTTGTGGGACAGGGCAGGGAGGGGTGCGATGGGGAGCGGCAGGGCCTAGACTGGGGGAGGAGGGGGCCACAAAGCCCACTCAGAGGTTTGGGGGAAAACAGAAAAATGTCTGGGGGCATTCACCATTTCTTGCCTTCAGTCATCAATACACGGTGGAGGGGCAGGAGGCAAGAGAGTGGCCACAGACATTCCATGATCCCGTGGGGAAGGCTCATGGACCCCTCAGCCTTAGCTGACCATCTTCAGGTTCCCTGGGGAGGCAGATAGAGAGCCAGGACCCGGAGCTCTGCTCATCACCGACATCCAGGGAGTGGGGAGAGGAGAGCTGTGAGCAGGGAGACCTACCTCAGGCCCTTAAAAGCCACACTCTATCCCTCCACAGAGCCTCCCTCTGTGACACTCACCAGCCACATGGTCCCTGGAAAACACAGGACACTCAAGTGCCTGGCCTATGACTTCTACCCCCGAGGAATCAGTCTGCGCTGGACTCAGGGAGGCGATGCGCAGGACACTGAGGCGGGGGGAGACGTCCTTCCCAGTGGAAATGGCACCTACCAGTCCTGGGTGGTGGTAGGAGTGCCCCCTCAGGACAGAGGCCCCCGCTCCTGCCATGTGCAGCACAGCAGCCTGGCCCAGTCCCTTGCTGTGCAGTGGGACAGGAGGCAGGAAGCAGGGCCTGGAGGTGATGTGGGGACTTGGGCGCAGTAGCCATCCTTCCTGTGGGCCACAAGAGCAATGAACCCTACAACTCACTGCCAATGTCATCATTGAGGCCCGGGTGGCAGGCAAGAGACATGTGGTGGGTTCGGAGATGAAAGACTTTTGAATGCCTGGCACCGCGCTGACTCACTGCCAAGCCGCCTTGCAGAGTCCAGTTTTCTTATCTGTAAAATCAAATCAACAATAATCGCCTTGCCTGATACACAGTATAGAAAAGTATTTTTAAAGTGTGAAATGCTGTCTAAATGTGAGATGTTTTGCATTCATCCTGCCGCCGCCTCCCGCAAGCATTTGACTCCTCTGAAATTCTTGGTATCTCCCCAAAGCAATGTTCACCTGGGGTATCTAGCATGGTATGGGTCACCTGGCCCCTTGGGTATCATTCAGGAGCCCACTGCTGATGTCCCCTCTGGCCATGAGGTTGCAGGAGCTCTTCAGTACAAACCCCAGCCTCTTCTGCACCTCATTTTCCCAGTGGTCCCTCGCTCCTGTGAGACACAGCCCTCCGGTCCAGCCACTCAACCTTTCCCATGTTGACCTTGAGGCCACACACCATAGTTCATGTCTCCAGGACCCACCCCCCTGGAAGCAGGAATCAGTCCTGATGTTCCTGGACTCCCCCCACATTCATTTCAGTATGCTCTTCTAACTGAGTCACCTACCACCATACACAGGTTTAAACTCTGAAAGACGGAGCAGAGCTCTCGCAGCTGCCTTTTGTATTCAGCTCTCCTGCCCGGAACTGCTTTTGCTTCCCACATAACAGGACCTTCCAAAGACAACCGTCCAGGCTGAGCTCCTTGAGGAAATCATTCCCAGGCTTCAGAATTCTGAGTGACTCTCTTATCTTTCTTGAAATACTATATTTGAAAATTCAAAGCTGAGAAATAGCTTCTTTAGTTTATGTGAAATCCACATTCCTCTCCTCTGGAGCAGAAAAAAAAATAAAGTCCTGTCTAAACAGTAGGTGGGCTGCAGGGAAGAAAATCCAAAAGGGAAACATATAGCAATCGATACTTCAGAACATCATGACCCTTTGAACAAACAAAGAAAATCACGTGACAGGAGAAAGACTTCAGATCAATGAGGAAACCCAAAGTGCCCCCGAACAGGCCAGGGGCTAAGGCAGATTGGAAGGTAAGGCCCCACCCCACCTAGGACTGGAGAGACAGGTGGAGTGGGCCAGGGGAGGAAACCTCAGAGGACCTGTGCTGGCCCAGTGGGCTGAGTGGGAGAGGGGCACAGAGACCCTCAGACACCCAGGGAAACTTCCTGGAGAGATTCAGACACCAGAGGAGGTGTGAGGGCCTGAGACAGCTTGCCAAGAAGAAATAAAAAGACTGTTCCTGACCAGTCAGGTGTGAACTAGCTGGGAGGGGTGAGTCCCCAGGGCCTAACAGGGAAGTGACCCCAGAGCAGGACTGGGCTGTGGGCATCGACGGGGCATCCAAGGAGGATAAAGGGGCCCAGAGACCAACTGTGGAACCACAGTGATTCTTCTGCAGGCGGGACCAACTTCAAGGGCACTCTGAGGCAGTCCCATCCCAGGAGGGCTTTGTTGCCACAAAATTACCTGCTGTTTAACAATTCCTCAGTTACTCAGTACTACAACCCATCTCCTGGAGGATTCCTCTGGGAACAGGTCAGCTAGACTGCAGGGATGGAGTGCTGTGAATTAGGCAGGGGATGCCCACCAGGTGCAGGACTCACACACATTCTCTGTCCAAGCCCTCTTCAATTTTGGCAAGAACTCACTGTTCTAGACAAAGAAACCTTATTGTTCATCAGACATATTTAGTGTTTTCTCTGTATTTTCTTTGCCCCTTTATTGGTGGATTCATTCAACAATTATCTATTGAGTGTCTGTTGTCTGCTTGTACTCCAGTAAGCACAGGAGACCCAGTAGAACAAGGTCGCACACAGGCCATCTGCCTCAGCTGCCCTGGGCGGCTCTCGCTCTCCCTGATGTCTTCTGTTTGAATGCCCAGAAGCTCCGTCCTGGACTGCAGCAGAGACAATGTTGCGTGCCCCCCAAACCAGTTCATTGTCCTCCTGGACGCACAGCATGGTTGCAGCCCCAGCCACCCCACCCCCACCCCCACCTCTAGGGTCCTGTGTCTCTGTCCACCCTATGGATGTAGGTGGAAGTGAGACAGGCTGCTTCTAGGCCTGGTGTCTCTAAACCCTCCAATAATCTTTCACACTCTCTCTTCCTTCCTCTTCTATAAAGTCTATCAGGGCTTAGAAGGTGGCAGAACCACTGGGCAGAAAGTTCTGGGGTCCCTGACTGGGTGGAGCCCCTCCCCTTCAGGTTACCGCACTCACTGGACAATGAAGAAAGTGACAAACCCTATATTTTGTCAAGCCTTTGGGATGTGGAGGGGATTTTTGTACTTGGTCAACCTTTCCTAACACATGGCCCTCCGTTATTTCCCATGTGCCTGCTGTCTCCTAGGCTTTTCACTAATTCCCGTGGATTGAAAAACCATCCATCTGCTGAAAGCTCCCACATTTAGATCTTCAGCCCACCCTTCTCTTCTAAGCCAGGAACTGGAAGATCACCCCAAGCTCTCCTTTCCCTACCCACCCCTCCCAGCCCATCACCCAGTCCTCCCTGACTGCCCACACCTCCGCCTCCAGGCCGTCCTCCAGACTCCAGGTCCATGAGATTGAGAGAGACTGAGATATTCTGAACCCTGACCCTGTTACAAGAAAAAACAACTCCCAGCTTCTCCCCTGCGGGAGTTTTCAAACTGACCCACACAGGGCACTGTTTCCAAAGCTCCCAGTCACTGCAGGGGCCCCACGCAGCTCCCCCCAGAACCAGCCTCCAATCCAATCCAAGCTGTTCCTTTTTGCACCTTTCCTCTCTCTTAGCTCAAAACTCTGTCTTCTGTCCCTCTGTTCAGAGCTGCAAGCTAAGCTCCCGTTACACCCCACTTTTCAACATTCTCTCCCTACCTAGCCTCACCCTGCCTGCACAGCCTTCACCCACCTTGTCAACAGCCAGCCTACTGAGCCCTGCAGACGCATGGCCCATGGTACTCCCGCGGGGTCAAAAACCAAAATGCAGCTGACTCCTCACTTGGGCGGGGGTCTCTGCGCAGAAGTGTCAGGTAATCCATCCACAGTCTTCCAGGGAATCTGGGGAAGCCAGTGTGGCTGGGTTAATACCCCCAACAGCAGGAAGTGGAAATGTTTTCTACCTGGGAGGTTAATAGCTGCTACTGATCATTCTTAACCAAAGAGCTGAGAGAGGAAAGAACCCCAGGTGGCCTCTGCTCAAATTTAGTAATACCCATTCAATCGATACTCTGGCTTAAATAAATATTCCCCATGTTGAAGATTTTTCTTGCTTCCCATTTTTGGTGGTGTGGATAAAGTGAAGGTTTCTATGGCCAGGATTCTCACCTGGCCCTGGGCCTCTTGCTCACTACACACGTGTGGGCAATACGTTGTTATTGTCTATGTATAAAGAACTCTGCCCAATGCTCTGGGCTGCTGCACAGCTGCAGGGCTGCTTGGCTACAGGAGAGCAGAGGCTGGAGTGGTGGCAGTGCTGAGGACAGAGACTGAGACAGCTGCGGGGGAATAGAGGCCCAGAGGCGGAGACCGGCTTGCTGCGTGCAGACTCGCTCTGAATGGACGGGATTCTAGTGATTGACGTGGGAATAAAGTTGCGTATAAACCCTTTCACCCCAAAACGTTCCATTGAACTGTTTCAAGGTTCAGGAAAGACATATCCACTCCTTACAGGCTCAGTTGCAGTGGCATGATATTGCCACGAGATGGCACTCTGTATCCTGCTAATGCTTTGGAGTTTTTGTTTGTTTTTGTTTCCGCTTTGTTTGTTTGTTTGTTTGTTTGTCTGTTTGTTTGTTTGTTTGTTTTGCCTGCAGCAGTCAGAACCTGCAGGGCTAGCAAGGAACCCTGGTTCAGGTGGAGAGAAGAAGATGTTTCTCTTCAACTACATTTGTTGATCCCTTTTCTAATTCATAGGTCATCTCACTCCGTTTCAACACCTGTCCCCAGCATTTCCACCTGGGGCAAGACACCTCAGAATCACTAGTCCAATTCCAGCATGGTCATCCCCACTCCACCCCAACCCCCCCAGAAAACAAAACAACACTGCCTCCTTCTGCTTCATTCCCCCTCTTCTTTCCCCTTCCCCCTCCTCCTCCTTCAAGGTTTCTCTCCTTGTTAAAGGCATCTTTATCATCCCAACCACCCAAACTAAGACCTTTAGTTCCTGCCTTCTCCCTTTCATCCCAAGCTGCCTACATGTCACCAAAGCCAAGTGATGCTTCCACTCTGATCCTTTTCTCCACCCAGACTACTCCTTTGTCAACCAGGTAGAGGCCAGTCCTCCCAAGCCTCCCTCACAGGTCTGACAACACAGGTAAGATTACACTTTCCCTCTTTAAAGGTTGAGATGAGATAGAAGTAAGTCCGCTGTCCATCCAAGGGTGATTAGATAAACAAATGGTGTCTATCCATTCAGTGGAATGTTATTCAACCTTAAAAAGGAAGGAAATTCTAACACCGGCTGCAACACAGATGAACCTTGAAGACATTACCTTAAATGACAGCAAAGCTCAGATTAATCCAGAACTGACTTTTGGACCCAGATACTTTTATCAGTAGACCAGGCTTTTGAGAGAAAGTCCTAACACATGTTAAATGGTGAGACAGAGGAGTCAACTTCTAACATAACACTGATTTAAAGTAAACCTTTGAATCAGCTGTTTCCTCACTCCACATTTATTAGTTTCAGAAGGGTCCTGATTTGAGTGGATATTAGGACACTGAATAAGATATCGAACTGACAAAAAAAGATTTCCCAAATTAATTATTTGTCAACCAGGTAATTTGTCTCTGAGTTTTCCTCTAGTGTGTGTGTGTTTTGTTTTTTGTTTTTTTCTTAGAACAAATGTTTTTTTTCCCTCAGTTTTATAAAGGTGTAACTGACATATAAAATTGTGCAAGTTTAAGGTGTGCAGGGGGATGATTTGATACAATTATATATTGCAAAATGATTACCACAGAAGGATTAGTTAACCTCACCTCACATAATTGCCATTTATTTTTTGTGGTGAGAATACTTAGGATCTACTCTCCTATTGGCCCTCAAGTATATAATCCAGAATTATTAACTATAGTCACCATGCTGTACCTTAAATCTCTGGAATTTATTCATTTTATAACTGGCTGTCTTTGACCAACATTTCCCCATATCCCCCATCCTC